CTAGGAGACAGGTAGACAAGGCACAAGACATCTGTCATGCCCAGGGAGCCATATTAGCTCTATTACATTACTTCCACATCAGCAGATCACCTCATTTATTAGCTAATCAGGCAGAACTCAATATTTGAAATTATCTCTCTTAATCCTATATGTGATCAGTTGAAAACCCAGAGCTCTAAAAATCTAATTGTAACTGCTTACCAGAAATGTCATCTTCACTTTGAAGAACTGAACAAGGGCCAAATCTGTTTTTCCATTCTCCCAAAATACTGTCCCACAGCAGAACTGGACATGCTTGTGTAGGTGTCGAGTGCACACATTTTAGCAGCTCCGTGAGGGAATTTGGGCCCCAGCCCTACTTCAGGATTCAGATATACCCCAAGTCCTAGGAAGACGATGGTCATGGAGAAGGGGGACATAGAGAAGGAACAATCATTTCAGCCTTGGCAGTACTCAAGAAAGATCTGAAACTAGATTTAGTATTCTGTGGGTCTGGACAGGAAATAGTCCCTTTACCCAACAGGCATGGCATGTTGGCATGGCCAAGGTTGTGGAGCTTGCCTACCTACGTATGATTAGGATTTCTTTTCCTCTTAGCATCCTATACCTCAGTGCCACCTCTCACCCATCCATAAGTAACCTAGTCCATCGAAAGTAACCTAGTCATCAGTATGACTGTATGGCAGTGAGCCATGGTCTGCTTCTTGCCCATTTTCCTAGACTCCTGTAGTGGTGTTCCCAGGACTACACTGGAAGTGTTCTGAGTGTTGTCTATGGAGTAGCAATGTTTCTTGGGGAGACCTGAAACAGGAGGTGAAAAACACATCTGCTGTCACACTGTAGAGCCCAGGAAGTTGGAGTCATGTCCACTGCCTTCATTGCCCATTGTTGCTGATGGAGGTAGGCAATGGAATAGAAAAGCAGATGTGTGGTTCAGAGATTGCTGAACACCTCCCCACTCTTTGTATGAAAATATGAATATGTGCTTATATTATTGTTGTACTTTGTATGTTGCTTATGCTGAATGGCATATGCTGTGTATGAATATACAGCTAATGGCATGAACACCATGTATGTATGTGTGCATGTGTGTGTGTGTGTGTGTGTGTGTGTGTGTGTGTGTACAGAATGCATTACAGTGGGATAGGTTAAAGAGATAACTCTATTAAGGCAAATCTCTCTTGCTTTCCTCTTCTTTCTTCTAGTTCCTTAAAAATATAGAGAGAGGAATACTCCATACTATCATTCACCCCTCAAAAGGCTACGTGATTTGGGGATAAAAAGGGTCCTTAGAAGCCAGATGAGGTACACCTCCCCTGAGAGATTCCCTAAAAACTAGAAGTTTTATATCCTTTTCTTTCCTTGGTCAAAACAAACCAAAATTGAGGGAAGAAAGACTGTAGTTTGCTAGATAACTTCCTCATGATTGTCCTCCTCCTAGAAGGAAAATCCTTTTTCTCCATTTAGTCTTATCTTTAACTTACTTTTAGCATGTGGGAATATAATCACTTAGATCAAGTTATATATGACTATAATTTGCATCAAATACATATAGAAGTAATAAGTATTCCTTCCCCCAGCAGTCCTAGGCCAATCAGATTGCTTCTCTTTCTTCCTTCCTTAAAATTATTAAATCACTTCAGTTACAATGAGAAGTGTAGAGTAATGCATGACCATCCATGATGTTAATTTTTAACATTTTGCTATTTTTGCTTCAGATAGTTTTTAAGAAATAAAATATTACAAGCATGGTGTTACTTCCTTATGATTTGTGTTATGAACATGTAGCCTGTATCAGAAATTAGAAACACATTTGAAGAGACTAATATTAGTTTGTAAAAACTTCTCCCATTCCTTACCATTGTGCAGTTTCACTACAGTGAGTCTAGGTCTAAATTTGTCTTATTTATGCTGCTTATGACTTTTTCTTCCTAAATTTCAGTATTTGCATTTTTTATCAGTTCTAAAAATTTTCAATCATATTCTCTTACTATTGCCTTGCCCCTGTTTGCTCAATCCTCTCCTTCTAGAACCCATATTAGATATTTGTTAGAACTTCTGTTTCTATTCTCCATGTCTTTTAAATTTTAAACTCTCTTGTCACATCTATATCTTGTTTTTTCTATGCGATATTGTAGACAATTTCTTCAGGTCTCTTATCCAGTTCATTAATTCTCTTGTCAGATATGTCTAACTTGTTTAATCCATTTTTTAGTTTAGTGACCATATTTATCATTTCTAAAAGTTCTATTTGGTTCTATCTCATGCCCGCCCATTCCTGTTCCATCTGGTATTTTTCTTATTTTTGTCTCATAATTTTAAATGCATATGTATATATATAGTTTCTTTTAGATGACTCTATTATCAGAAAATGTAGGGAGTTAATTCTGCTATTGCTAACTACTTAACTTCCCCTGGATGTTAGATTGTTTTGTCATATGGTTTATAATTTGGGGCTATAACCTTAGCTTCAGTGATGCTTTATCTATGAAAATTCTGTGTGGCCTGGGTTGAAGGTGTTTCTTTCCAGAGAATTCTTGCTTTACATCTGCCAGATGCCCCAGGTGTATCCCTAGCTCAGGAATACTTTTATTTTAATCCCTTGGTTTATACATTCCTGAACCACACAGATAATATAAATGTCAAAACCCAAACTACACAAAGACAGGATCCAGGTTCCAAAGTCTCAGTTGAGGCAGCATTACTTGCTGCTTCCCTGAGCTAGTGTCTGTTTTTGTTTTTGTTTTTTTCTGGTCCACTTTTTCTGTTGAACTCTTACTTCTAGCACCCTACTTTGCTTGAAACCCACTACCTGTCCAGACATGGACATTAAACCCAATCAGTCCCCAAGGTCATTCAGTAAGCCTCCCGGTGGCCATAATTTACCCCTGTGCTTTTTAGTCCTTGTTTTGATTTCAAGCTCTGAAAAATTCTCTTCTGTTTTTTAGATACAGTTATAGTGATAGGGCTTCTATTTTATCCTGGAGTTCTGGGCATCTTGAAGGAGTGTTTTTAGATCTCTAGACCACAACAGTGCTAGAAAGAGAAGTCTAAATAGTTTCCTCTCATCCACTGATCAGAGTCGGGATTCTATTCTCAGAGCATCCTGGGAGTACCTGGATTAGTGAAACAAAAGTGGCCTCTAGAACTATAAACAGTCCTTTAAGAAATGGGAAATTCAAGTGTTAGAGCACTGCCTAGCAAGCATGAGGCCCTGAGTTCAATTCCCAGTACTGTAAAAGAAAAGAAATGAAAACTCCCTCCATAGAAAAGTATGACAAAGCAGTGATGAGCTCCCTACCGTGCACCCAAATATTCAGCACACTTTGAATTTTCTGCAGGTGACCCAGTGGGCACACACTCATGTAATAAGGACACACTGGTGTACTAACACATTCCCTGCCACAGAGAGCTTGGAATCTAGAAAAGCATGTAGCCCATATGATCAGAATGAGAGGTGTTGTAGTGGGGATGCCCTTGATGCACTATGGAAGTACAGCAGACAGAGAGGCCAGGCAAGCTGTCCTAGAGGGTAAGGAAGTAGGGGCACTGAAGGATAAGTCAGAAGCAGTTTAGTAAAGGTAACCCAGGCAAAGATGGCAGCTCATGAGATGGCCTGGAAGCTACAGGGAAGCATAGAGGGTTCACTTTGGAAAGAGCTTAGAGTATAAGGGAGAGTAGAAAAGGATGAGGTGGAAAAATGACAGATGGGTCGTAAAGGCCTTGACTTGTCAAATCTGAAAATCTACGTTTTCTTCTGCAAGCAACAGGGAGCCACTGAAGAATTTCATCAGGGAATAAATTCAGTCAGATTTATACTTTATAAAAAGATGAATATAGCTGCAGCACAAACATTACATTGGGAATTCCAAGACTGGAGATGGAATAGGCAGACTGAGGTACTGACTTGGATGGGAGATGATAGCAGCCTGTCCTAAGGACATGGCAGTGAGTATGTTGAGAAGTGGGTATGAGAGCTTTTACAAATTCAGAAGCCAGGCATGGTAAGGCATACCCAGAACTCCGCAGGTAGAAGTAGGAGGATCATGAAGTGAAGGAGGACAAATATGGTGGAAGAACTATGTATTCATATATGCAAATGGAACGAGACCTGTTGAAACTGTTCTGAGAAGGGGGGAAGTGAGGATAAAGGGAGGACCTAAGATATATTGTAAGCACTTTTGTAAATGTTACAATGTACCACCCCCCACCCCCTGTACAACTATAATATGCTAATTTTTAAAAAGGCCAGCTTGGGCTACATGGCGAGTTCAAGGTCAGTCTAAAGTACATAGTGAGACCCTGTCTCAAAAAGAAAAATAAAAAAATCAGAGGACTAACCATAGTTCAATTCCAAGAAAAACGAGAGAGAGAGAGTGAGAGAGAGAGAGAGAGAGGGAGAGAGAGAGAGAGAGAGAAGAAAAGCTAAGTTAAAAGGTCATTTCATGGTCAACAATCATATCATTCTGTTGGTCTCAGTGGTTTTCAGCATCTTTTTGACTCCTGACCCACCTAAGGGCTGAAACCTGTTTCCTCATCAGTGATTCTCTGCACAAGAAGACACCTGTAGAATTTACAAAAAGTAAAATTAAAATCCCAGGTGAGTTCCGTGGGCATGCACACCTGCCTTGCCACCCCATTTTAGGGAATCACTGAGCTGGGCAAAACAAACATTTAGGACAGAAATCTATCCCTTACATAAAGTAAATAACATTTGGAGGAAACTCTTTTTCCATCATAATGCTAGTTTGTATATTTTGCCCTACAACGCCTGCTTTAGGCACTAGCCTACTCCTGACTAAAACATAGTCTTCATGTAAATTTGCCTCCTACCCCAATGAGGTGACAAATCAGCCAGTATGTGATGAATTCAGGTTGTATAGACACAAATATCAGGTATTCCAGCCAAGGCACTTATAGTTTGCTGTGAATCATCCACGTCAGCTTTCAGGACAGTTAGAGTCACAAAACAATTTCTGTTTCTTCCTTCATTTTCACAGGGTAGACCTGGCTCAAGACCCAAGAGTGAAGCAGCAACTGTAAGAAAGCAGAAACATTATAAATAACCCAGAGAATCCTTTTTTAACAGCAACTGCCTGCTGATTTTGTGGCCTAACAGCTTAGCAAAAAAGGATATAACTACAATATTGTGCAATGACTAAGTACTCAAAATTTTGTGCATCAGCAGAAGTAGAACCTGTGGTTGATGCTCATGTTATCAAATGCCTTTGCCGTTCAATAATCTAGTAGGTCTTATTACTTAGCATGCAGTTTTCACAGAGAACAATGATTTTATTTCAAGTACTTCTCACTGAAATAAAAAAGCAGCTGTTAGAAGATGAACATTTGGCAGAAAATGTTTCAGTGAATCTTTTGTAAGACACTAAATCATCTTGGATTAACTGTTTTCTATCTAGAATGGTAGAGTCACAAAGAAAAAAGATTGCTGACCACAGAATGCAAGTCCAGTCTTTAGAACCCAGTGAATCACTAACAGCCATTTTAGTTTTAAGTGCCATTTATTCACCAATATGTAAAGTTATTTATATACAAAGCCTTCATTAATGTTGCCTGAAGAATGGGCCCTTTTTATTCCATTTTTAGCTTGCACTCAAGATCCTGCTTCTCTTTCATTAGTTATAGAATAAATTAATCCTCCAGAGACATTTTGGGCAGTTTTCAGTCTCCACAGCCTGTGCTTCTTTGTGGCTAGCCAAACAGAGCGGTGAGGGCTATGGCTGAAAGGGGCGCCTGCTGGACACAGCACATACCAGTCCTGTTCCAGAACCTGAAGAAACTAGAGCAAACCATGACTGTCCACACCTTGCATATTCTTAAAACTGCCAATCACTGGCCAGACTATGGGTTTACCAGTGAATAAGTGACACCATGACATGGTTGCTGGGCACAGCCAATATCAGCCAAAAAACATTATGGTAGAGTTACTTTAATATGACTGTTGACTCAGGGATGGCTTTTATATCAAGTTATTATAATTGTAAGTAAAACATGAAAAATTATTTTTAAAATGATCAGGCAAAATGAATAGCTTTTCCCCAATTTCCACTCCTGGCATAGAGTACGTGATGGGTTGAGATTAAAATGAATAATTTTCAGAGATGGCTAACGATAATTTACAGGCTTGGGCTGGGGTGGTATCAGGTGCATAAAAGGGGAAGAGTCAAGAATGTCTGTTTTGTAGATTAGTTGGTGATATGAGATAGTATGTCTACATTTTTATAAGGTCACTTGGATGCAAAAGTTGACTTCATCAAAATGTCCCACTTCAGTAATGTGACTAGCCAGCCCAGTGCCCATCTCCAGCTGATAAGTGGACCCTGAGACACCGGCAAGCCCAGATAGAGCCAGCAAATGGCCTATATCAGTATGAATCATTGGCTGACTTTGACCAGGAGCCATTTGTCACCAATAGCAGAGCCAGGTTTCTGAGGTAGCCTGAACACCACAGCCATATGCATTCATTGTAAAGGCTGAGGTGGCCAAAATAGACACATCTGGCAGGGGATTTTTCTTTGGCTCAACTTGAAGTCAAATCCTAGTGAAGCAGTTATTATGATAACCTGTACTCTTATAAATGGTTGCCAGATTATGTGTGAGGTACTGTTCTGGAGGACTGTCATTGGGGGCATGCCTTTGATGGTTATGCCTGGTCCCTGGTGTCTTTTTTCCCTCTCTACTTTCTGTATACCATGCGGTGAGTAGCCTTGACACCTGCTCCTGCAGCCACAATGTTCTCCCTCACCACAGCCAGAATCAGTGAAGCCAAGGACAGTGGACCAAAAACTCTGAAACTGTGAACTGAAATAAATCTTTCCTCCCTTAAGTTGTTTGTATCAGGTATTTTGTCACAGTGATGAGAAGTCTGACCAACACGGGTGTCCATAAATAAAGAATCTGACAGTTCTGAGATGATGGTTAGCAGAGTTTTTCTTGTTTTATAGTAGTTGAAGTTTAATCAATATATTCAAAACGGAAAGACCAGTGTCATTTTTAATATCACTTACAGTCTCTTTGGGCAGTGAAATGCTGCCCTGAGCATATCTCAGCCCTATCTTCCTTTGATTTTACACTTGACCTCCCACTGATCCTTCTCTGTTCTCATCTATCTAAATGAAAGAAAGCTTTAGCACTATAAACCTCATTCCAAATAGAAATACATAATTCAAGAGGAATACTGATGTCAAAGAAGAGAAGGCACACCAATTTGTGTCAGCATTTGCCGTAAATTAAAAAGGAGTACAAGGAGAGTTTAATGTAATGTAGAATAGAAATTAAAATAGAACCAATATTTAGGCATTCCTCCGCCTCTTTTTTCCCTGCTGTGACATGAAGGATTGACTTTCTCCCAGCCTAAGTACTAATGTAGTTCATCCTTTTCTTATTCTTTTCTGCTGGGATATTTTTCCCCCATCAGATGTTACATGTTTATCTCTGGCATCCAACATTTGACCTTTTTACCTGTTCCATTCTAATTACAACAGCAAAAATCAGAGAAGTAAAAGTCAGAGTTTCTCCCCCACTTTCCACACTGTTCATGTTTGTAACATAGAAAGGTCCTGTGCCTATTCAGCCGCCATCAGTAGCTATTAATTTTTCCGTGTTACTGGTTGCATCTAATGTGTCACCTCCTGGAAAATCAAAGGCTGATAAGAGAACATCGTGCAGTGTAGTGCTGTGCATGGTGTCTTTACACTCAGGAGAATTCTTAGCGCATTCCCAGAGTGCCCTCGCCTTTAGAGTAGTGCAGTGGGGATGACAGCCCGCTCAAACTGCCGTGAACAGAGCCCATTTGGAGCTCTCTATTCTAATTTCCTCCAGAGCTAATATTTTTCTTTACAGTGACCCATTGTTTTTGGTCACTGGTAGAATTCCCTAGCTTGGTTCCCCCCACACATAAATCAGTAGATTTTAAATGATTCACTCTTGGGCTGGGGGCGGTGTGGGTCAAGTAGTAAAGCACCTACCTAGCATGCAAAGGCCCTGAGTTCAAACCCCACTACTGCCAAAAAAAGAAAGATTCACTCTTTTCAGAGATGTTCATGGAAGAGTGATTCTCAAAGTGTGGCCCCAGACTGGCAGCATCAGCAGCACCACCTAGATTCATTAGAAATGTAGATCCTGAACCCCACCTTGGATTTAAGAGATCAGAATTTTTGAGGGTGGAGCCCAGCAATGCATGTTTTAAGAAGCCCTCCAAGCAATTTTAATGTCAAGTTTGAGAACCCTTGGCTTAGAAAATGTGCTGCCTCAATTAAGGATATTCAAAGATGTGCCACAAATTTTGAAGTATTCCAAAAATATTTCAAACTATTTTGGAGCAAGGCTAGAATATATATATATATGACTTCCCCTGAGGACTACTTTAACAGAGACTTCAACCAATGGCATCCTAATTATGCCACCTAGCCACTGACCTTGAGCCAGTTGTTACATCTGGAAATTGAAAGACTCACCCTGTGTACCTCACAGGATTGAAATGAGATTCAAATTGAATCACATCTGCAAGCATGCCCTACAAGCCAGAAATTAAAAGTCATATCACTGTACAGGCAGGATTTTGTGGAGTGTGTATTGGGTCATGTATAGGAGTGGGGACGGGAGGGGGACAGGAGTGGGGACAGGCCTGGGTCTAGCATTTCTGTGGCCTGACCACCTATTTGTCTATATAATGACCTGCCAGATGTGTCTCATTTCTGCCATTTCGGCTCACCAATGCAATTAGTGTTAAAAGAGAAAAACCATTGCCGGGTTAGTGTCTACAGGAATCTAGAAAAATACATGCATGTTCATGCTGTTTTCTTAGTGGTGACTATAAAGCTCTGTGATGGTCTTTGAGGGCAAACAGTGTTGTGTGGATACTAAAGCTCTCATGTCCAGAACATGGCACGTGGCAGCCATGGAACGGTCTATCTGGAACCCATCCATTTCAAGCCCGGGTAAAGGAGTATTTACCTTAAAGAAGGAGGCTTAGCAGCTGAGTGCCACACATTAATGAATACAGAAGACTGAAAAGAAAATCCCTCAAGGCAACCAAGTCTACAGAAACTGAGATTTACAAACCAGACACTTGCTGTGTCTATGTTTGGGAAGAATGTGGGTGGATTTTTACCTCAGAGATTAGCTTTTACAAACAATTTCACTGTAGGAATTCTTAAACAGCAAACTCCTGGTGCATTTATAATTTAATCTGAAAACTTTACAGACTCTTTAGTGAGCACTTCTGAGCAGGAAGGAAGCTAAACCTGTTGCCACAATGCTTACAAGGAATGAAGTTTCAGTAACAGAACAGTCCTTCTGGGCAGACGTCAACCTCACTTTTCACACAAAGTGCCAGCTAAAATTTAGAGACTAGGTATGAGTCGGGTGCCACTGGCTCACACCTGTAATCCTAGCTACTCGAGAGGCAGAGATCAGGAGAATTGAGGTTCAAGGCCAGCCTGGGCAAAGAGTTATCATAAGACCCCATCTTTAAAATACCCAACACACACACACACACACACACACACAAAACAAGGGCTAGCAGAATGGCTCAAGTTGTGAAGCGCCTGCCTAGCAAGAGTGAATCCCTGAGTTCAAACCCCAGTACCACCAACAACAAAGAGACTAAATATGAATACAATTGGCTAATTATGGTTAAATTTTGTGCTACTTGTGGAATAAAAAGCTGTTGGTTAATTATAAAATTAAAATATGAAAGAATTTTAGTCAAATCTGTAACAACAGAGAGTGGATCAGTGGTTCCTAGGACTCCATCAAGTGGGGGTGGAATAGGGAGTGACTGTTAATGAATGTGAGCTTTCTTTTAGGGGCAGTGAAAATTTCTAAAGTTAGATTGTGGTGATGGTTGCTCAGCCCTGTGACTGTACTAAGGGACATCAAATTGTGAGTGAGTACACTGTTTGGTACTGAATTATATTCCAAAGGTGGAGCTTTTGGAGGGGTTTTATTTTGTTTTTTGGTTATTTTTTTGAGAGGGTATGAAGATGTAGCTCAGTGGCAGAGGGCCTGCTTTGCATGC